GCTTCTTAATCCATTCACAAAGTCTGTGTCTTTTGACTGGGGAGTTCAGTCCGTTAATATTTAAAGTTCTTAAAGAAAGATGAGTATTGAATCCTGTCATTTTTATTTCTGTTTACATTCTTGGTATACCTGTACTTTTCTACCATTATACCTTCATTGGATTTCTTTCCACAATCCCTTGGGTATAGCTGTTCCTTTCTTCATTTATATTGCTTCCAGAACTCTCTGAACGGCTGGTTTTGTGGACATGAATTCCTTCAGCCTATTTATGTCATGGAAGATTTTTCTTTCTCTGACTATAATAGACATTTTGGCTGGGTATAGTAATCCTGGTTGGCATCTGTGGTCATTTAAAACTGGGAATACTTTGGTCCAGGCTATTCTCGCTTTCATGGTTTGCACTGAAAAGTCAACTGTAATCCTGATGGGTTTTTCTTTATATATGACTTGTTGTTTCCCTTTTGCAGCTTTCAGTATTGTCTCTTTGTTCTGTACATTTAGTGTTTTTACTGTAATCTGCCATGGAGAGTTTCTTTTCTGGTCCTGTCTGTTTGGTGTTCTATATGCTTCTTGTATTTGTATGGGCATGTCTTTAATTTTGGGAAATTTTTTTCTACAATTCTGTTGAAGAGGTGGTCCATGCCGTTATCTTGGGATTCTTTTCCTTCCTGCATGCCTATGATTTGTAAGTTTGGTCTTTTTATGGTGTCACACAATTCTTGCATATGCCATTCTTATGCTTTCTTAAATTTTTCATAATCTTTGCTTGAGTGGTCTAGTTAGTCCACTTTATCTTCCAGTCTTGATACCTTCCAGTCATTCATCCTATTGGTGAGACTTTGTCCTGTCATTTGTAATTGGCTTACTGAGTGTTTCACTTCCTTCTTCATTTCAGCCTGAGCATTCTTCAGTATTTCTAACTCTTTTCTGAATTCATTCAGAAGTTTATCCCTATCTTCTCTCAGTTCTTTGATTTCTTTGTGTATTCTTTAAATTCACTGAATTCTTTTATCATGTTTATAATTGTTCTTTTGAATTCCATGTCCTGCATTATCTATAG